TTTTTTTTTTTTTTTTTTGCAATTTTCTCAAGATGACTGCTTCATTTTCTCTGATGGGAGCAGCCCTCTAGGCACACTGGGGTGGATAAAGTTGGTAGAATGAGCTGGTGAGGTTGTGAGAAGGCCCCTGCCTAACCCTCTTTCCTTCTTGCTTGTACAGAGCCAGAACAAGTAAGTGATTTGATATGCCTCCCTTCGCAAAATAGCTGGAGTCTGAAATTATCCTGGACATGTCCAGCCAGTGCTGTTAGTAAAATTGTGATCCTCATGTCAGATAAAGCCTGGAAAAATGAGCCAAATTGCAGCGGATCAGTGGTGATTCAAGAACTTCAGCCTGTCAAAGTCTACCAAATTAAAATAAAAACTTTTTGGTACGACCAATATGCAGTCTCAGACACTGTGGAGTGCTCCATCAATAGTACAGGTGAGCTCTAAGACCATCTCAGTGTAAATTATGTGTTAATCCTGCAGTTGGGCCACAGCAAATGAAGTAATGGTTTCTGAAAAAGCCCATTCCATTTGGAGGGTACCAATTGTTTCACACATTTTTGGCCCCAATTGTTTGTCCAAAGATCTTATGTTTTCTTTCTGTGTCCAGTGGTTCTGCTTGGATCCCTTTTTGCGGTGCTGCTTCTGTTCGTCATCCTTTGCTTCCTGTTCTTTTACTTCAGGAGACCAAGGTAAGCTTGTTTGACATTGTGAACACTGATAGAAGAGAATATTTGTAGCTCAGGGTTGAACCCTGGGATTGCTCTCTGAGGGGTCTTTGGGGCTCGGCAGGCATTTCAATATCCAACTAGGTAACATCCTGAGCTAGCTAGCACCACTAGTACTGATGGTATTACCTGGTTGAGTAATGAAATGTCTGTAAGAAAACAACCAAGTGCGGAGAGCATCTTGGACTTTGAGTAATGCACGGGTCATGCTGATGGACAACTGAGTTCCAGAGTTTCTGGAAATGGGTCTTGCATTGTTGACTTCAGTTCAGCAGTGTCCTGTCTGGCATTCTCTGTACCGATGAGGATGGGAGCACTAACAAATGCTGCCCAAGTGTCACTTCCAATTTTCCTCCCTTGCTTTCAGAAGGACAGATGCCTCGGAGGAGCAGAATCCAGACGTGGGATTGTCTGGGTGAGAATAAATTTTAAGATTTTTAGAAGAGAAGCACCATATTATCTTGTTTGAGGCCAAGCAATGATGAAGGCAAGCACTCCCTAGGATTAGAAATAGAAGGGAGGGAGGGAGAGAAGAGGGGGGAGAGAGAGGGAGGGAAGGAGAGAGTGAGAGGGACAGAGAGGGAGGGAGGGAGAAAGGGAGAGGGAGGCAGGGAAGGAGAGAGGGAGAGAGAGAGACAGAGGGAGAGAGAAAGAGTGAATGAGGGAGGGAGAGAGGGTGAGGGAGAGAGGGAAGAGAGAGAGAGACAGAAAGAGGGAGGGAAGGAGAGAAGGAGAAAGAGAATGGGAGAGGGAGGGAGGGAGAGAGAGGGGGGAGGGAAGGAGAGAGAGAGAGACAGGGAGAGAGGGGGGAGGGAGAGAGAGAGAGAGAGGTGCGATGTAGGCCAGAAGTAGGGAGATGAAGGAATGGCCTTGAAGAACAGGAGAAGAGTTGCTACTAAGGCAATGGGCAGATAAGAGGGGGTTGAGCCTGGGCCAAGAAAAAAATGGTCTCAGACAACCCCCTACTTAGTTCAGGTGAAAATAAAGTGGGTGCAGAAAAGCCCATTCAGACTTGCAAGGTTCTGTTATTATAGCTTTACAATAAAAGGAGTAGCGACCTACAGGTCATTGGTTTCCTAATCCTTGAAGGATTCCCACCAAACTACTTGGAGTAACCTCACCCAACCTGCACCTTTTGGTATCGAAACGATCCAATTTCTCTACTTTTTATCTGTCACAGAGTCCTTGGTGCAGTACCTGTGTCGGCTTTCCCACGCCATTGCTACGAGAAGCTGTCAGACAGCGCCTTCGGCTTTGCTGTTGAATACCAGGTATGAAGTTGGAGGCAGGGTTTGTTGTCCAGTAGAGATACACACGACTGGCATAGAGAAGAATCCATCATCCAAATCCCATGTCTCTAGGCAGAGCTTAGAAACTACTCTGTCTGCAGTGCCCAAAATCCAACGATTCCCAGCATTGACAGTCAGAGGCTCCTGGGCTGTTGGTTTGCCTCAGGACGGAGCATTCTGGGAAACAAGGATTTTGCTCCACTGAGCTTTCTCTTTGTATACGGGTGAGTGTCTAAAGGAGTTTCAATGGATCAGACATTCCTTTTGATTAAACATTTCTGGAGAAAAGCTGAAGGCAGGACAAGAAGCAATGGATGGAAACTAATCAAGGAGAGAAGCAACCTAGAACTAAGGAGAAATTTCCTGACAGTTAGAACAATTAACCAATGGAACAACCTGCCTCCAGAAGCAGTGAATGCTTCAGCACTGGAAGTTTTTAAGAAGAGACTGGACAGCCATTTGTCTGAAATGGTATAGGGTTTCCTGGCTGAGCAAGGATTTGGACTAGATCAGGGTTTTTCGACCTTTTCACCCATTGTACCACTTTTAGGATATGGCAACATCCGAGTACCACCAGTCGCCTAGCAAAGTATCAAAAACTTGATGACCCCAAAAAAAAAAAAGGAAAAAAGTGATAAAGTACAGGTAGTCCTTGACTTACAACAGTTCGCTCAGTGACTGTTCGAAGTTACAATGGCACTGAAAAAAGTGCCCCCCAAGCCACAGCTGAGCAAGACGCCTGCCTGCCCACCCGGCCGCGCTCTTCCTCCTGTCCGAGGTTTTCATTGTGAGCATTTCTGCTGAGGATTGGCAGCGGGGGTGGGGTGGGGGGTGTTTGGTTTTTATTCCCCCCTGTCTGCTGGGTGGTTGCAGCAGGTTTTGGTCACTTCACATGACCCTGGGACACTGTGACCGTCATAAATATGAATCAGTTGCCAAGCATCTGAATGTAAATCACAAGACCCTGGAGATGCTGCAACATTCCAGCTGATTGGTGCTTCTTCTGGACTCAGCAGAAGCACCAGGATCAGCGCCGAGCTCCAGCTGGAGCCAGCGCTGATCCTGGTGCTTCCTCTAAGCCCTGATGCCCTGCAGCTCCAGCCATCTCTCGCTCAGGCTTGTGCGGTGCTGCCACTGGTTCAGCTCATTCCCCTCCCCCACTACCACTTTTCTGGGATGGTCACGTACCACCTGCCAGGTGCCAATGTACCACAGGTGGTACCCGTACCACTGGTTGAAAAGCCCTGGACTAGATGACCTCCAAGGTCGACCATGAATGCTGCTATTGCTCTATGTTCCATGTATCTTAATGTATATAAATGGATTCAATATAAAAAAAATGGATTCAATTCCTGTTGCTCGCTGTTGTGCTACTGCAAAACATTAGAAAAACAAAGTGCACTGACATTGAATCAGTGATATTTACCGTTGGAGTTTTTTCCCCCTTCCATTTTCTCTTTTTAAAAAATTAATAAATTGTGTGTTTTAGTTCTTGCCCTGGGACTTTGCACAAAAATGTCATGTCACGGTAACAATTCTCCCTTCAGTGATAATGTTGCCCAAGGGAGACTCCCTACGTTTCCCATTTTAAATCATCCTTTTATTCTGCATGAATGTGCAAGTTCTCTACAAAAGGATTGTATGTTCCAGTGTAGTCTACATTGGTTAGACTCCACTTTGCCTATGGTGTCAAGTTCTGAGCCCCCACAGAATCAAAGAAATTGGAACAGGAGCTCTAATTACGTTCTTCAAATACTCACCAGGATATCCCATAGAAGAACATCTAAACTTCTTTCAAAGGAAGGTACTTTTTTTTCTTTAAAAGGCAACTGGACTGGGGTTGTTGTTGTTGTTGTTTGCACTGTTCCAATATCAAAGAATAGGTCAACCTATTCTTCAAGGCATCTGAAGAGAAGAGCAAGAAAGACGATGAGGGGGCTGGAGGCTAAAATATATGAAGAAAGTTTGCTGGAATTGGATATGTCTACTCTAGTGAAAAGGACTAGGGATGACATGATACACGTGTTCCAATATTTAACGGGCTGCTACAAAGAAGAGGACATCAACCTGTTCTCCAAAGCACCTGAAGGAAGGCCAAGAAGCAATGGATGAAAACTAATCAAGGTGAGAAGCAACCTGGAATTGAGGAGAAATTTCCTGAGAGTGAGAACAATTAAAGAGTGGAACGACCGAAGTTGTAGGTGCTCCAACACTGGATGTTTTTAAGAAGGGATTGGACAACCATTTGTTTGAAATGATATAGAGTTTTCTGCTTGAGGTGGGCTAGAAGACTTCCAAGGTCCCTTCCAACTCTGTTGTTCCGTTATTCCATTATTTTCCTTGAGGAGGAAGAAGAAGAAAACATTTCACTTCTTATCCAAGAAGCTTCATCAGTTCTGATGGTGGTGGTGGGGATGGAAGGATAGGTACTGATAGGATGGGGGGAGGGGAATAGAAGGATTTTTTTTCTTTGCAGTAATCTGGTCATTAGCACTCTCTCTGAGAGTTATTGAGGACACTTGGGGGTTTATCTGTGCCTCAGGATCACTTGAATCAGAGTGCAAATGGATGTAGAATCTTCTTGGGACTGCTGCAAGGACTGCATTCTTCTTCTTCCTCAAGAAAAAAAAAGTCCAGCTGCCTTTTGAAGGGAAAAAAAAGCACCTTTGAGACAATTATGACCAGGATGACTGACAATCTCCACAAGATCTAAACTTCCCCCATTGGTCTTCGAATAATAGATTTAGATTGCTATGGTCTCCCTCAAAACAATGGCAAGAAAGCAATGCCTGGAGTACTATTAACCTGACATTCCCCAAGAGGATAGAGTCTGCAACTCCTAGAATTCCCCCAAAGAATGACTATGCCTTTTGGGAATCTCACGTCCTGAGGTATGCCAAGGGAGGGGGAAGGGGCAAGATGAGGGAAAGCTAGCCCAGCATGATCTAATATTTGAATTATACAGGTTGCCCTCAACTTACAACAGTTCATTTAGTGACCGTTCAAAGCTACAACGGCACAAAAACAAAAGTGACTTGTGACCATTTTTCACACTTGCGGCCATTGCAACATCCCCGTGGTCATGTGATCAAAATTCAGGCCCTTGGCAACTGGATCATACTTATGATGTTTGCAGTTTCTCAGGATCATGTGATCACCTTTTGCGACCTTCTGACAAACAAAATCAGCGGGGAAGCCAGATTCACTAAGTTAACAACTGCAGTAACTTAACAATTGTGGCAAGAGAGGTTTAAAATGGGGCAAAACTCACTTAACAAATGTCTCCCTTAGCAACAGAAATTTTGGGCTCTATTAGGGTCGTAAGTCAAGGACTACCTGTATATTTATTTATATATGTTCCCGATTGGAAGCATTCTTTGATTACACCGGCAATCTGCTTTCCTTGGAGGGAGGGGTAGTTTGCAGATCCCCACCTAGCTATTTCTTGTTTGTCTTCATAACTTTGTGAAATATCTATAAATACATTGTTCCTAACAGTGCCAACATCAGTTATGCAGAAAGAGTAGGCAAAGCAAGTGTTAGCACCTGAGTTGTTGATACTTCCTAAATTAACTTGCAACCACCGCATCCACTGTTCTTAGAAACTATTGTGGTTTTCAATTTTACTTCTGCAAAGCTTGAATTTCCACTTGGTTCAATTGGATTTGAGTCACACATTGCAAATATGAACAAGTAAACATCAGTTTTCATAGTAAGCTCTAATCTTATTGATCCCTTTCCTTGTCCTACCTTGAAATATATTTGTTAAAAAGGAGTGCTCCATATCTCAACTGCCCCATATCATATTCAGCTTTTTATATTAATATGTCCTCAGTTTTCTTCCATTTGTTAGCATCTCTGTTCTTGCTTTGTATAAGAGTTTCCAGACTGATAAAAACTCAGCAGTTTGTTATATAAGCAACCCACTGCAAATATCCCCATTATCAGCAATTCAAATTGCTGGAATGTTTATAACCTCATCTTATTCATCTCAATAAATCTTATTAAAGAGAAATCTGCAAAAATGATGTTTGGAAAAGAGTCGTTTTCCATTTTTGACGGTTGTTAAAAATTCATAATAGCTGGTTTTCTTTTTAAAGACCTCAGAAGCTTCAGAAAGGCACGTTTTAAATAAACAGACACTAAGCAACAGATTTTCTTAGCTATCCAGATGAAAACGCCCATTAGCCTTCTCCCAGTACCTTTCACATTTACGGATTTTAGGAATCCTCAGCAATAGCAATGCTTACTGGGATTTCTTGCAGTTTAAGCTCACTCATCTTGTGGCTGCCATGGGGAAGATTTGGCAACAGCATCATAGCTCAGTGGTCCTCTGTAGTGTGTTGTATTCTTGTATACCTTTTTCACCATATCTGCTGAAATGCCTGGTTTGTCTGTCATCAGGCAAACTTTTGGTATGAATGATGGGTTCCCAGATGTTATCGGTCTGGCTTCACTTAACAGGTTCACTTAGGAAAGGTTTTTTTTTTCCCAGGGGGAGCATGGGTTGAGGGTGAGGAAGGGATTGTCCAGCTCCACACCTGAGCTGGATCCAATCAAAATATGGTTCAGAATTTCATTCAAGGAAATCAATTTTCAGTATTTTGTGTTTCTCCACCAATTTTCATGTATGGAATCATTGACTTTGGTGGACAAAAACTATATGTAGACTTACGACTACAATTGAGCCCACAATTTCTGTTCTTAAGTGAGACATTTGTTGAGTTTTGCCCCATTTTACAATTTTTCTTGCCACTGTTGTTAAGTGGATCACTGCCATTGATAAGTTAGCAACCTGATTGTTAAGTGAATCTGGCTCACCCACTGACTTGGCTTGTCAGAAGGTCACAAAAGGTGATGATCACATGACCCTGGGATAAAATGCAGTCCAGTTGCCCAGGGTCTGAATTTTGATCATGTGGCCAGGGGGATGCTGCAAAGGTCGTAACTATGAAAATCGGTCATAAGTCACATTTTTCAGTGCCGTTGTAACTTTGAGCGGTCACTAAAGGAACTCTTGTAAGTCGAGGACTACCTAAAATTCCTTTGATCTAGGATGCAAAGGAACAGAGTTGTTGTGGGTGGATTTCAAATAAAATAGCCTCGGACCTCTCAAATTTTTAAGAAATCTCTGCATCTTCAACCATTGATGTGAGCATCAATCCCAAGGCACGATGGCTGAGGGTGTTGGGACTTGTAACCTAACACAACTGCAGAGCAACTGGTCGGGAAGATGTCTATCCTCATCCTGTTAGCATTAAATGTCAATAGACCTCGTGGGACTTATTCTAAACAGACACATCGGAAAAAGGTTGAGAACAAGGAGCGAAGGCAGGGATAGAATCAAGATTACAAGAAGTGATACTACTGCTTTATAACACCTGGTAAGACCACACTTGGAATACTGCATCCAGTTTTGGTTACCACAATATCAAAAAATGTTGAGACGCTGGAAAAAGTGCAGACAAGAGCAATAAAGATGATTGAGGGAGGTGGAGCTGGAGGCTAAAACATATGAAGAATGTTTGCAGGAATTGTGTATGTCTAGCCTAGTGAAAAGAAGAACTGGGGTGACATGATAGCAGTGTTCCAATATCTCAGGGGCTGCCACAAAGAAGAGGGAGTCAAGCTATTCTCCAAAGCACCTGAAGGCAGGACAAGAAGCAACAGATGGAAACTGAACAAAAAGAGAAGCCACCTAGAACTAAGGAGAAACTTCCTGACAGTAAGAACAATCAATCAGTGAAACAACTTGCCTTCAGAAGTAGTGTGTGCTCCAATACAAGAGGCATTTTAAGAAGGGATTGGACAGGTCTCCTGCTTGATCAGGAGGTTGGACTAGAAGACCTCCAAGATCCCTTCCAACTCTGTTATTCTGTTATTTAAAGGAAGACTATTTCCAATATAGTAACACTCTTGCTTGACAGCTTGTTTTCGCTATTTGCTTTTGCTTTGTCTTATTTTGGAAGCCCTCTGTGCCCTGCTTTACTGAGTCAATATTTCTTCTTTCCTTGTCTTCATAATAGCAACTGCAGGACACGGGGACAGATCAGCTCCAGAGTGTCGCCCAGCAGCATGAAAATCAAGCTAAGAATCGCTATAGCAACGTTCTGCCATGTAAGTTCCATTCCCTTACCTCGCGAGCCTTTTCATTATTTTATTCTTTCCAACTCATCGGAATGAACCCATTGGAAGGGGCTCTCTCTGTCCATCTGCAGGAAAATGACCAGAATGAGATCCAGTCTGGGCTGGAGGATGAAGTCAGCAAAAGAAGGATTGAGTTTAAATCTGGGCTTGAAGAGGCCATGGACTACTGAAAGCATCTTTGGGGGAGATACAGTCAAGCAGCCTCTTGAACTGTGAATTGTGAGCTGCCCAATGGCCTCAAATTGAACGAATGAATAGTTTCCATTCTAAGCCCTCCTCCCTCCTGCTTGGAAGACCCAGAATAGGATATATGCAGTCTGCCCTATGCTTCCCTGTGCACTACTACAGAAACACAATGTCAGTCCCCATAAACAAATAATGACAGATTGAGTTGCTTTTGAGGAGTATCTTTATACTGGTGGCATATAAAACCCTGGTGGGGCAGGGGCTAGAATGCAGTATTGCGGGCTAACTGTGCCCACAGTCTAGAGTTTGATCCTGATGGGCTCAAGGTTGACTCAGCCTTTCATTCTTCTGGGATCGGCCAAACGAGGACCCAGATTGTTGGGGCCAATAGGCTGACATTGTAAATCACTCAGAGACTGCTGTAAAGCACTATGGAGCAGTATGTAAATCTAAGTGCTATCGCTATTTATTGTTGTTAGCCAACAGACAGAATCTTGCCAGATTAAAACAACAATATGCATAACTATAGATATATTCTGTAAACTGCGCTAGGGAGGCTTCATTTTTGCCCACTTCCTGCCTATTAGATATTCCAAGCTTCATTGATTCTTTGTCCTCTGGAAACAGTCTTTCCCTCCTGGGACTCCAGACTACATTCCACCATACATACACACACACACACACACACACACAAAACAAAGGGGGAAGACAGAAACTCTCCAGGGGCATCTTCAAAAGGGTCAAAAAGTCAAACGGGCAGTTGTGTGATCCAAGCCCTTTCCCCCAGCCTGGTATTTTTGACCACCCTGTAGACATCTCTGACTATACACACCGTTCAAGACTGATTTGCACTTTCACCTATATTCTGCTTTGCTCGCAACTTGACAAAGAAAAGGGAGGAGGTGGGATGGAATGCAAGAGTAGAGGGAATTGCATCTGAGCATCACCGGTTCCCGTCAGACGGTGCTCCAGCCCAAGGACATTTTGAGCAGGTGGATTAGCATGGCCGCTGGTTCCCATAACAATATGGAAAGAAGTGATTGGTGGACGTAATGGATTATGGGTGGCCCATAGGGAAAAGGGGGGATTAACTATGCTAGCTTTTTGCGTGGGAAACCCAGAGCTGGTTTCGCTTCGATTGTGCCAATATGGTTTATTCAGTAAAGTTTATACTCTTGGTAAAATAATGTTCTAGGAGCTTTTGTTTTCACCAACTAGATAGAGGGCATGTTGTATATCATTACCTAGAAGAAAGTACAGGTGCCTCTTATGGCCAGTAATGGTAAAGGAATTGAAAAGCATTCCAAAAGTTGTGTTTGGCAAGCTTTGCCTATATTTTCGTTCCGGAATTTCACCCATTACACTTAATGTAAAAGATCCTGCTTGAACTTTGAACATCCCGCTGTAGAAGTCTGATTCAAGTCTAATTGTTTTTGGTGCAACTCAACAGTCACCATTCCACAGAGGACACTTTAATGCTCTACACTGGTGCTTGAGAATCACTGATCTTTATCTAGAATTCTGGGTCAAGGTAATATAATGGAGACAATGCTGGATTTCAACCGGACAGACTGAGGTCCTGTGTGTTTCTGATCTTCAGTGCTATTCTTTTGCTCTCAATCTTCTCCTGAGTGCCATTTTTGGTTCTTTCTCCACAGATGACCATGCACGAGTCCAGCTCACTCTCAAGCAAGAAGACCCCTATTCAGACTACATCAATGCCAGCTACATGCCTGTATGTCTTCGCTATTGCCTTTTTGGGATGAGATGTTGGCTAAGAGTGCTGAAAAAGTAGATTGAAGCCAGTTCGAGTCTCTGAGCTACTCATGCTGGAACATGTTTAAAGCATTCCAAATTAACTCTAAATGCCAAGATGAATAATGTACAATCCTGATACTGGATGTTATATCCAGAAGCCTTTCATAGTTGCTAGTGAATTGCCATTTTTAGTGTGACAGAAGAGAGGAATGATTAAATAATGGACAGGCCATATTCAGAACAGAACAGAACAAAATGGAAGGGAACTTGGAGGTCTTCTAGTCAAACCCCCTGCTCAGGCAGGAAACCTTATACTATTTCAGACAAATCGTTGTCCAATCTCTTCTTTAAAACCTCCAGTGTTGGAGCACCTACAATTTCTGGAGACCTGTCATTCCACTGATTAATTGTTCTAAGTATCAGGAAAATTTCTCCTTAGTTCCAGGTTGCTTCTCTCCTTGATTAGTTTTCATCCATTGCTTCTTGTCCTGCCTTCAGGTGCTTTGGAGAATAGGTTGATGCCCTCTTCTTTGTAGCAGCCCCTTAGATATTGGAACATGTGTATCATGTCATCCCCTAGTCCTTTTCACTAGATTAGACATATCCAATTCCAGTAAACTTTCTTCATATATTTTAGCCTCCAGTCCCCTAATCATCTTTGTTGCTCTTCTCTGCACTCTTTCTAGAGTCTCAACATCTTTTTTACATCGTGGCGACCAAAACTGGATGCAGTATTCCAAGTGTGGTCTTAGCAAGGCATTATAAAGTGGTATTAACACTTCATGTGATCTTAATTCTATCCCTCTATTAATGCAACCTAGGACTGTGTTGGCTTTTTTGGCAGCTGCAGAAATTTCACTATATTTGATCATACATTTCACTACATTTAAACATACAGTGTTAATGACACCAAATGTGGGTGTCCTGGATCCAGTTATTTTGATACACCTTTTTTGGGGGGGAGGATTTCAGCCCTGCAGCCCAAAAGCCAAATATGATCTCCAGCCTGAAAATAGTTGCCTCTCCCTATCTTCCATCACTGATACTGCTAACTGGAAGTATTATTTCCATTTGATGCAATATATGTTTGGCCTTCGATGTCTAATGTAATTTGGACTCTAGTTTTTTCCCCTCCAAACCTTTCATCTTCACTTAACAAATGCCATTTTGGGAGTCTGCTTTGGCTTCGCCCGTCATATTGCAGAGTAGTAGTCGTAAATGAGCACCACATATCGAAGTGCTTGCTTTTAGGCCAGCTCCTGTAGACGGTCATCTCTAAATTGTGTTCTCCTCTTTGGGATCTATTAGTCTGGGAGCCTATGTACTCCTAATGACTTAATGGGAAGTAATGCAATTTTAGTCCAAGTGCAGGCGCATGAGGAGACATCGCTCTGCCTTTCTGAAACAATTGTTTTGTTGACTTCTCCCGAGTCTCAGAACAACGCTTCGTTTTGACCAAGGCAGCCTTGAGCATAACATGCAACAGCTTTAGAAATACAAAAATGATTTTAAAAATGAACCAATGTTTTTCTGTGTGTTGTTGTTGTTAGTTGCAAAGTCATGTCTGACCAATCGCAACCCCATGGACAACATTCCTCCAGGCCTTTCTGTCCTCTACCATCTTCTGGAGACCATTTAAGCTCACGCCTACTGCTTCAGTGACTCCCTCCAGCCACCTCGTTCTCTGTTGTCCCCTCCTTCTCTTGCCCTCAATCTTTCCCAGCAGTAGGCCCTTCTCCAGTGAGTCCTTCCTTCTCATTAGGTGGCCAAAGTATTTGAGTTTCAACTTCAGGATCTGGCCTTCTAAAGAGCAGTCAGGCTTGATCTCCTCTAGAACTGACCAGTTTGAATGCCTTGCAGTCCAGGGGACTCGCAGGAGTCTTCTCCAGCACCATAGTTCAAAGGCCTCAATTCTTTTGCACTCAGCCTTTCTTATGGTCCAAGTTTCGAATTGATGTGACACCTCTCTCCTCCCAAGGGCTGCAAGAAGGAGAAGGAGTTCATCGCAGCTCAGGGACCATTGCCTGCCACACTCCATGACTTCTGGCGCATGATATGGGAGCAGCACGTCACAACCATAGTCATGCTCACAAATTGCGTTGAGAATGGAAGGGTGAGAATGGCCCTTTGTTTCAGCCCCAAGGATGCTCTTGGGAGATGCAATGCTGGGTTTAAAAATGCTTTGCTTTTTTATCACAGAATCCAAATGTCATGGCTGCATCTCACCCATCCAAGCTTCATGAGCTGACAGCCATGGGGGGGGGGAGGGAAATTTTGTAATGGAAGGGAGAAGGTGAGAATGGAAGCCCAGCGGAGCCATGTAAGAAGCTCCAGCCAGCCAAGGTCAAGTAACGATATGCAGAGCTGGAAACCAAGCACCTGTTTCCTAAACAATATACAAGCACCTGATTGGACATTTGCAGATAACTGGCGGGGGGGAATGGCCAGGGGGGTAGGGGAGAAGAACTTTCCTTTCCTTAGATTTAGCTTACGCTACTTCTGTAATAATTTAAAGTATAGTCTTGACCAGGGGTAGGCAACCTTGGCTCTTTTATGACTCGTGGACTTCAACTCCCAGAATTCCTGAGCCAGCCATGCTGGCTCAGGAATTCTGGGAGTTGATGTCCACGAGTCATAAAAGAGCCAAGGTTGCCTACCCCTGGTCTTGGCAAAACAAATGGCCAGGAGTGTTTCTTTGCTAGATGACTGAATGGGACAGTTGACACCAAATTTGACAGGCATCTAATAACTTTACCATGTGTCCCCAATGCTACAAATTCCATCAAATGTCCTGTACTCTCCAATTTTTCTCCTGACCAGGTGAAATGTGAACACTACTGGCCCTTGGACTACACCCCCTGCACTTATGATGATATTACTGTATCTGTTATCACAGAAACTATTCTCCCTGATTGGTCTGTCCGTGACTTCTGTATCAAGCAGGTGAGTGATTGAGACTTGAAGCTACCTTCTCCTTCTGAGCTTAAAATACACTCAGAAGTGCTGCATGGATCAATCCTTTTCAAGTGATTTCCACCTAGAGAGCCCAAGAAAAAATACACCATCATTTTCCATGCTCAGGTACCTATGAGAGTCAGAAAGGGATATAGGGGAAAAGAAAGGGAAGTAGGCATGGATGAATATCAAGAATTCCCAAGTACAGGGGAAAAAATCTTACTTCCCCAAATTTGTTTCTTGGTTTTGGGAATATCTGAATTATGTGTTTCTCAACAGGTGAGCATGTCTGAAGTTCGCCATGCTAGGCATTATCACTACACATCATGGCCAGATCATGGAGTGCCCCAAACCACGGAAACCATTCTTCGTTTCCGAGATCTTGTCAGGGAGGACTTGGACAAAATGAAGGATAATGGGCCAGTTCTGGTTCATTGCAGGTACATCAAATGGGAGTGAGAAGGTCTGGGGCAAGAAAAAAACCAAGGGGGAGTGGGGCACTCGTTACTCAGATCTTCTCCAATGGATCTGCTCAGAGTCACTCTTCTTTCTAAGCAAGGTGGCAATATTGATTAAGATCTTCTCATCTGTGGGACTTGGCTTCAGTCTCCCTTCACTTTCCAATAAATCAAGCACCGAGAAAGTCATAGATCATACTGGGGATGATGGATGTTGAAGTTCAAAATAGCTAGAGGGCCCCAGGCTGAATAAGGCTGATCTAGAATATCTCCCATGGTGTCTGCCTCACTAGATAGACCAGGCTGGAAAATCAACTCCACCAAAAACTAGAGCTATGCTTTATTAAGATAGGCTATAATCTCTACCCATACTGACACCAAACAACACCAGTTCGATTGGAGCAACACTAAAATCATCGGCCATGCTACCACCTGCCACGCTCATGAGTTCATCGAAGCCTGGCCAATCACAAGCAATTCCATCAACAGACATCTTGACCTACAACCAGCCTACAAACCCCTCAGGATCCAAATCAACCACACAGCCAACTAGAGACAGCACAGACCCTCAACCAACCCACACAAACCCCCTCCTCCCCCCACCAGCAGTTCACCTCCTAATGACCCTGGCCTGAGGTAACCTCCCCATCACAAGCCTCTCACTGATGACTCACACCTGACCCATCACAAGACCCATCACAAGACCCTCACCTGACACACCCACACCCGAAGCCCTTATAAACAGAAGAACATTGACACTGACATCCCCTAAACTCTGCAAAAGGTGTTACCTAGCCTGGTAACAAAACGTTTGGAAACTAACCCACAAGCTTGGAGAAGGAACCTTCACCCTCATAGACTATAATAACAGAATCTTGCAAGCTTGCTTGTGCTTTACTTTACCTTCTTATGCTCCAATGAATCAGGAACAAACCAGCCTGAGTGACTTCCAAATGCTATTTTGCTTCCCAGGACTATTTTAGCCCTCTCTGCTTATGTAACGTTCTTGCACATTTCTGTCAAATTCATCTTCCTTAGTCATACCATACATCTAGAGCAGGAGTCCTCAACCTTGGCAACTTTAAGACTTGTGGACTTCAATTCCCAGAATTCCTCAGCCCTCTCTGCTTATGTAACATTCTTGCATATTTCTGTCAAAGTCATCTTCCTTAGTCATAAAATACATCTAGAGCAGGGGTCCTCAATCTTGGCCACTTTAAGACTTGTGGACTTCAACTCCCAGAATTCCTCAACCAGCAAAAGCTGGGAGTTGAAGTCCACAAGTCTTAAGTGGCCAAGGTTGAGGACCCCTGATCTAGAGCATAGTTGTGGTTGTCCATGCCTGATTGCCTGTTTTTTTTCCTTCATTTTTCCACCTTTCCAGTGCTGGGGTGGGCCGGACAGGCACATTTATTTCTCTAGATTCACTCCTGTGTGAAGCCCAGGACCAAGGAGAGATTGGTGTCTTTTCATTTGTTGAGAAACTGAGAAGGAACCGTCCACTCATGATCCAGAATGAGGTGAGAGAATGGAAAACATTGACATGTAGAAGCAGGGCTTTTTTTGTCATAGAATGCCCAGAACGGAGTTCCAGTATCTTTTTTGGATGGAACCTTGTAGGGTAGGCAAGGCGGGTTGTATGACGTGTGTGAGTTCCGGCACCTTTTTTTCCCCCCAAAAAAAGCACTGTGTAGAAGCAGGTCTGATCTATGGGCAAACATCTCCTCTGAAATCTTTAGAGAATTTGTCAGGGAGAAGTGGGGGAGGGGGGGAATTACATATGTGCTCCACAGACCATTTTGAGAGTTCCTCTGGATCTGATCCATATCCCTTCTCATGTTGTACAGTTGTCAGGTACAAGTAGTCCTCAACTTATGACTACTACCGAGCCCAGAATTTCTGTTGCTAAGCAGGACATTTGTTAAGTGAGTTTTGTCCCGTTGTATGATCTTTCTTGCTACAGTTGTTAAGTGAATCATTGCAGTTGTTAAATTAGCAACACAGTTGTCAGGTTTTCCATCTGACTGTGTTTGTCAGAAGGTTGCAAAAAAGTGATCCTGTGACTCTGGGACATGGCAACCATCATAAATACAAGTCAGCTGCCAAGCGCCCGAATTTTGATCACGTGACCACAGGGATGCGGCAACGGTTGTAAGTGTGAGAAATGGTCATAGGTCCCTTTTTCCAGTGCCGCTGTAACTTTGGATGGTCATTAAATGAACTGTTGTAAGTGGAGGACTACCTGTACTTCTGAGATCCAAAAAGAAGGATTTAAGAAAATTGCTCCCCAACAAAAGACACTTCAACTTTCTCCAACCTGGATGACCTAATGTAAAATCTGACTCCCAGAATCCCTTTAGCCAGCATTGCCCTTGCTAAGAATTGTGGGAGTTGAAGTACATGAAGTATTTTGGAGACTGAAGGTGCCACTTGTTGAGTTAAGGACACTCTTAACTAATTGACTGACTCAACTAGCACTCACTTTGCAGTTATTTCAACACCATAAGGGCATTTTTATGTTCTCTGCCTTTCAAACAATGTTGCCTGAGCCTGGTTTGCTGTATTGTCGCTTCCTTTTTTTTAGCACACACATGTGCACAGATATGCACATAATTTACATATTTCTTGTTCTTGGAATTGCAGCCTTCCCTACATCTAGTCCTTAGATATGTTTGACAAGAATTTTCAACATCCCTATAATCTACATATGTAAACAACATCAAACTCAAGCCTTAAAAGTGACAATCTCTAATTCTCTATAGACAACAGGAATGCAGTTATTAAGAGATTTGCACCTAAAACACACTTTGTGGGCCCACTCATGAGTTCTGGTTTCCTTTTCTCAGATTGGTTGAATAAGCTATCCTTCTCATCCTTCTTATTACCTATTCCTTATCTTCTTATGACTATACTTTTGTTGCTTGTATCTTACGATTTATATTAATTGTTTTATTTAGTATTCTAGTATGATTTATGTTGATTGATTATTTAGTAACCTATGACCATTACTGAGTGCTGTATCTTATGATTTAAGATGAATGTTTTTTCATGATTATATGATTTATCATTTGTTGCTTGTATGTACCCTGAGAGCTTATGCACCAGAGACAAATTCCTTGTGTGTCCAATCACACTTGGCCAATAAAGAGTTCTATAAAGAATTCCATTCTATATTACGTGAATCCATAAAGCTTGTTTTACAAGCAACTATAGCTGTCAAAACTAAACAAAGTTCAGCATGACTGTAAAGTTGATTCATCCCACTTTTAAGGTCCTCTAAACTAGCAGCTAATATAGCAATGACTGATGATCCTTCAGGTAGAGTTCAACTGCTGATAACATCCTGAACACATTCCTTTTAGTTTTGTTAGCAACAGGACCAAAGGTATTTGAAAGAGGGGGTCAAAGAGGCCATCTGTGTTAAATTGAACAACTCTGCCTCAACAGAAAGGGAAGGATAGGAGCCCACCTCTCTCCTGTCCACAACCCAGTCCTTTCAGCAGTCCCAAGAAGGTTCCACACCCGTTTGCACTCTGATTCAGGTGACCCTGAGGGCACAGATAAACCCCCAATTGGCCTCAATGATCCTCAAGGCTAAGGACTGACCTTCAGAGTGCTAATGTCAGGATGACTGCAAAGAATATAAATCCTTCCATTCCCCACCAGTCAGTTAGACCTGAAGAAATGTTTTGAATGAGAAGTAGAAAATTTTTCAAGGAAAAAAATACACAAGAAAGTCCAGTTGCCTTTTAGAAAAGCATTTTTGGGACAGTACCAAAGGGACTGCTATTGTCTTTTTCTATGGGGTGCTTTTATTTTCCATCAAGAACTTCCTGGTCATTTTCTATCTAAGTATTAACTATTAACTAAGGCTTTGTAAAGCCTTAGTAAGACCACACCTGGAATACTGCATCCAGTTTTGGTCATCACATTACTAAAAAGATGTTGAGACTTTGGAAAAAGTGCAAAGAAGAGCAACTAAGATGATTAAAGGCCTGGAGACTGAAACATACAAAGGACGGTTGTAGGATTTGGGTATGGCCAATCTAGAGAAAAGAAGAACTAGGGGGGACATGATAGCAGTATTCCAGTATTTGAGAGATTGCCACAAAGAGGAGGGGTCAACTTATTTTCCAAAGCACCTGAGGGCAGGACAAGAAGCAATGGATGAAAACTAATCAAGGAGAGAAGCAACCTGGAATTAAGGAGAAACTTCCTAACACTGAGAACAATAAACCAATAAACCAGGCTTGCCTTCAGGAGTTGTGAGTGCTCCATCACTGGAGGCTTTTAAGAAGAGATTGGACAGCCACTTGTCTGAAATGGTATAGGGTCTCCTGCTTGAGCAAGGGGTTGGACTAGAGGACCTCCAAGTCCCTTCCAGTTCTATTCTGATTGATAGGACTCGTCTTGTTTAACTCCCAAGCCACTCAGTTGGTGCTTACATTTACTGTGACAAGATAAAGCTGCCTTGGAGTTGAGCTCTAGTCCTGGCGACTGCATCAATACATCTATTTTGTTATCTTGGCAACAGGAAGGAAACCGTTTGCCATTTTCTTGCAGTATTAATTTTTCAACCCTCAAAGGCTAGCCTGCTGCCCTGAAATTCTCTGTTGATCTCCCAGTGCCAACAGTTTTTGTTTTGACCTCCCAAGCTAAGTTACAGCCATGGATTTTTCTGGTGATCTTCCAGGACCAATTACTACTTCCAGATCCGATCTGGCTTAGCTTTTTGGAATCAGGCCAAGTCAGCTGGGCATTTCCCCCCAAGCTGGGCAAACGGGTATATGGTCTGGCAGGAACTGGGGTACATTTGAATCAATTCCCAACTGAGCTTGCCATGTGCATAGCTATACAAACAGCCACATTTCCCAGTGCGATTTCTGCATCACTGGGCTGTGTGTGTGTGTGTGTGTTTTAACGAATTGGCCAGCACCTCTGACCACCGCTGATGTTCCTGTGGGACAACTCAAATCAATTATTTATGCCATGTCTCTCTCTCTTTCCACAGGATCAGTATGTCTTTTTGCACCAGTGTCTCCTGGATGGGATCCAGTCTGCTTCAACGAATGCCGGGGTGATCCAGGAACATCCTGCTGTCTATGAAAACATCTTGGCTATGCAAGACTATGAGGTCTCCCGGGTGTGAGAGGCTTGGCTTTTACCCAGGCAAGAAGATGCCTACTTTCTATAGATTGCAAAACAATTGCCCCTCTCCCCCCAAAGATTGAGGCATTTCCCCCCCCCCTCTGAATTTAACTTCCATGTTTTAAATGGAGTAAATTTGCAAAAGCAAACTTCCCAGACTGTATAGGTAGTTTTTTTTTTCTCTGAAATAATTAATTATCGAAATAAAAATATTCCCAGTGATTCAGAGCCTCCCTTTTAGCCTCAAATAATAGTTTCGTCAATTAATTAAGTAAACATGACCGCCTTTAAAAAAATTATTGGCATACAAGATGACTAAGACAAAGCCACGATACAAAATTGAATCAAACACACTAAGTAACGTTTGAATCACGGAGAACTGAAGTATGAATGTCTTACTTTACCATGCTGTGCACAAGAAACATTTTTTTCCTGTTGACAATGAACTCATGTTCTTGATGTACACAACAGTTTGTCTACTCCTTTGCCCCAGCCATCCTCTTCTCTCACACCACTGTTCTGGGAATTGGGAGGAGAGGATGGGGGAGGGTAGCAATTGTGGCACAACAGCAGAGTTCTTCCTCCAATTATATACTGTGTGAAAGCCGGGCCCTAAAAGAGATTAAGACTGAAGCACACAGCCTGGCTGAATTATTTGGTTGCCTCAGCAACCTGAGTGTCAGCTCCACAATGTTGCCATGGAGAACTGTCACACACATACACTATATATACATATACATATACATATATGTGTATGTGTGTATGTGTATGTA